TATCATTCCTCAAGATACATCGACATTTCCTACGAATTCAACAAAACTAAATACATCATTAGAAGCAGTTCCCAAGCAGCCACTCGATAGGTATTTCGAGGGGCCGATTTTGGACTTTCGCACCCATCGAAATATAAAACGTACTGCTCGGATTCTCATTTTCGGATAGGTCGAGGACTCGGCGATGGGCAAGGAAACTGAGAAGTTTTCGACCCCTCGAAATAATTTATCCGACGGATAAAAATAAAGTCCTTTTTCTAAACATAGATATGCAGATGCTTTATTTTCGAGTCATCGGAACCTATCGGAAAATGGTGGAGAAATAGATTTGAACATGGTCATTGAACATCTAAACTAAATATGAATTGTTTTTCTACTTTGAAAATTGTCTGTTCAATTGTCAGAAACATGCAATTTACAATTCATTTTAGAATTTTTTTATCATCTTTTAGGATTACATCAAAATCTGTTATTAGATCAAAATTCGCTTCTCAAATTTTAACTTTGAAATCTGATTCTATTCCTAACTTCAGATACTAAGAAAATAACACATGGAATATCAGTAAGCGATGAATAAATAATTTTTTTCAAAAAGCATACGGTTAATATTTTGCGAAACTTGTTCAGGTGCTGCAGTTTGATAGATCGAAAATTTTCAATATGTATCCATATGTCGATCTGAATGTTTTTTAACCATTTAATATTAAATATTATTAAAAAGCTTGTGAAAACGGCTGATAATTTATGTTCAGCTTTCGTTCAATTCTTAAAATGGCTGGATAAAATATAAATACGTATATGCCTTTTTGAATGTGTTTTATGAAATCGGAATTGATTTTTAAGATTAGAGACTGTTACTATCTTAAGTTTGTTTGTGTTGGAGTACTCGATATGGTTCTTTCGATGTCTTTATTTTTCTCGAGCACTACAAACTTCGATAGTTACCGACATATCTATAACTCTCCGATAGGTCGATTGCATCTTTTGGATAGGTTAATTTTCGAGTACTCGAAATACGATGGGTTTCGATGGACTCGAAATCGAAACAGAACGGACAAAATATATACATATTGCATTTTCGAGGGCTCGTCGTGGGCATCGCATGAATTTTTTTGTCTGCTTGGGTTACATGCGCAACTAGTTATCGTTAATATACATATATAATTTCATGAACCATTCGTCGATGATTTAATCGGTTTATTTTTAGACAATCAATTAATACAAATAATAAATCAGATACCGAATGACATAGATAAACCTGTTGATTTGCAATCGATTTCCACACCTTTGATTAAACTTGGTGAACAATTAACAGTAACTTTGGTAAATAATTCTCCATCATTCGAGATCAATAGTTCTGCAAATGATTTGCTTTCTATTTTTAGAGATTATTAAATCAAGATATAAAAGAATACAAATCATGCAGATGTCATACTGCGAACGAATATTAGTTCGTTTAATGCACCGTCGTCATGTATGCATATGTATGAGTGAATTGCAAAATTAGTGTATCGTTTTGAAGAAAAAGTTGATAAAAGAAAGACTTTTGATTTTAAAGTTTGTAGTTAATGCACTGTAACGTGCATTACGCAAGGAGAATATAAATAAAATGCCCCAAGTACCAGTATTAAATTAATCGAAATGTAGAGTGTCTTGAGATATGTTACAATGTTGAGTGGTATGTGTAGAAAAGTTTCATCTACAATAGAGTGGTGGACATTCTCAGACTAATCTAAAAAGCATTTCTGGATTCACCTATGACACCAATTTATGTAAAATGAATGCAGGATAAAAAAATTGTGAAGGTTTACAAAAATGGACAGATCGAATGTGATCGATGATTTTTTTCTGCTAATTTTTCTACTTAACAGCTACAGTGTATAAACAGATTTATATACAATGTTTGGTATTTGTTACGATCGGATTGTTCCCATCCGTTCGTAAGACAGAGAGAAGATACCCTTTCTAGTACAGTGGTTAATACGTCTGCCCGGTAAGCAGGAAATACATGGTTCGATTCCATGTGAAGGGGGATTATCTTTTTCTCCGTTCTGTTGTATTCTATCGCGCTGCTTAGTCTCGGTCATGAGTCATAACATCAGACTCGTAACAGTATTCATCATTAGTTTCTAGCGTATTTCTTCATCAAATATAATCTCAAGTGATATTTAGTGTAACGAGTGGATTTCCCAAGTTGTAGTTTATATGTTATCTTAACGAAAAGCAACATCATTTTCTCATCTTTTTTGACGATTTCATCTCGCACTCATTGATTTACATTTATTTTTAATCTCAACTGACAGGAAATCGAAAAGTGAGTGTACATCTGATATTTAGAAAAATAATTCTAACAAAATTTGCAATAAAACAGCCGATCGATCTGACATTGAAAAGAGGCACAGCCTGTACATGAAAAATTTGCCTACTTCCGAAATTCACACGAAGGAAGAATACATATATTCTACGTTACTTTTTATCAATAAATAGAAGTAAAAATCGATCTTTTTAACAGTTTATGCTTTTTTTCTTAGAAGAGCTTCATCTTAGATTATAATGATATAATTGATCAGCAATCACGAATTTAGATGAAACCTGAAATGGGGGCTGTTACAAACACTGCAAGCTGCTAGAGATGCTACTGAACATTTGAACGAAGTAATTATTTGATGATGGTGCTGAAAGTCAAAATGAACAAGATAGTGTAGTAGTTGCTGATAGTGATGATGAAGAAAAAACCAAACATTTTGAGTCAACTGATTGTATATTATAACAAATATGGATAATAATCAACAACAAGTAAATCATAGTTGTTTAATAAATACTAAAAGTAATCAAAACGATCGAAAGCGTTCAATTGAGACATTAATGGAATGCCAAACAATTCATTTAGGTAACAATTAGCGAACAGCAATAAAATAATCTTTTCCATGGTACTATTCTTATCGACAATGAAAGTATGCCGAGAATCTGACATCCGAAAAACGTTTTTTCTCTAGAAGACAAATATCTCGTTGACGTTTTCCTATTCAAATAGATATAGATGGTATTTATCTGAATGTTGATTCTCGTGTGTTATACCAATATATACGATACATGCATTTTTCGATATATACACGTAGAATTGTTTTTCTTTTCAAATGAATTGTATTCCTAGGGAAGATCACTGCCATTAAGCGTACAACGAAAAAAGAACTGCACTGAGTCTGTTTTAATCCGTCGTAATCGAGTTCTAGTCAAACTTTTAATTCGTGGCGAAATGATCTGCTTGAATCTATTCAGGATAGCGATGGACTATATCGAGAATCATAAAGAGTTTGCGTCTCGAACATGTCTAATTAAGAATTGTTACAGATGACTTTCGAGAAAACTGCTCGAAGATGATTCCGATTCTGAGATAGAGCTTTCAGAGAGATTTTGACAATCTTAAAATCGCTCGTGTCCATGATTTACTTTTCAATAGTTGTGGTCATTGTATTGAATTTTCAATGCATCACACCATTTCTGCAGAAAATTCAAATAAAGATCTTTCAATCTGACATTCTATCTATAAGGCCGTTCGATGAATTTTAGTTTTCATGAAAAGTTTTAGTCGACATAGTTGTTTTCTTTTTCGAACTATTGGCATTTCCAGACAGCTCCAGAGTTATATTATGTCTATTGTTAGAGGATGTTTCTTGAAAATGTAATATCTCAAAAACCAAACATCCTTTTTTTCTGCTGAAAATTTTAGCCTAGACCAGAAATCTTACGAGCAGTTTATGAATAGAATTTCAAATAAAAATATCTTCATATGATTTTCCGGTAGATACTTTTGCGCTAGGAAAAACATTTCGTATCTGTAACTTTTCATCGTCAAACCATATACATCAACGCAGTCAGATTTTTCCATGTTTTACTGAGACTGAGCTCCTTGAATTGATCATTTGGATTCGAAAGAAGTTAAAATGAGAGAGATTGTAGCCTTGGATCTCGTAAAATTATCATCCTAAGAAAGACATCAGTATGAACAAACTGTAGAACGATAACTTGGCTTATGTGCATATCAAAATCATCATAACTACCCCAAACAAGGAGCTAGAAGGCTGATATATTTTTTTATGCACATCGCTGACTAGTACTATCATATGCAGAAAATTTCAACATCATAGCGTGCCGTATTTCCAAGTTCGAATTTTGAAGGGGGGGGAGCTTAAACAGATCTGTTTGAAAAGTTCTTTTGACAGAAATCGTCCAAAACAATTCCTAAAACAGAACAATATTAATGGGTACCCGAAAGTTGAATTCCAAAAGTAGAGCAGTTTTGGAAATACAACGTCTGGGTACTGAGTAATATTATCAATAGGGAAGTGACGGAGTCATGGAGTCTGCTGTTTCTCCCTTGAACAGATTTCACACTTTGCGTATTGTGTATAAGTAGAATTAGGCTGAACTTCATACGTGCGTTCCGCATTGTAGCCCCGAAGGGGTTGCGCTAACAAGTTTTTGACCTATTATCTTGAGTTCGAATGACTGGATCGATGCAGGGGTAATTCTTTTCCAATGATTGTAATGTGTATTTAATCATTTCTTCCCCGTAAAATCGATCCTCCCCAAGTCAGACAGGGGCTCATTCTAACACCTTTTAGCCTTTGACAGCCGCCGGCGCATATATGCGTCATGAACTTTGTTACTGTCTGAAACTAATACAATTAATTGTAGTGCATGTTTTTTATCTGCACTTTCATAGACACAAACATCTGACAGCTGAAGCCTATGATATATCGTTTCATAAGGGTATGCTCTAAAACGGTGCCTCAAAAAAGGAGTATAAATAAGTACTGTCAGTTTTTTATGCGTAGAATTATCCTTTGTTCTCTTTCTTCTTTTCTTTATAATATATGGAAAGGGCACATCCCATATCCTTCTCTTTTTCTCTATAAATCTTATACAAACATATAAAACATCATAACTTTCAGCTATCGCAATTTAAATTAGGAATTATTCGAGATCTCATTCAAAGTATGGCTCCAAGAGATGGCATCATAGACAGGTCATTAAGTGTTCATCGGTTGCGAGTGGCGATCAGACATTTCGCGTCTCTAATATCTCCAAATGAAAGCAACCAGGCTCATCGTAGAAGATATTATATTTGCAATAGTATTGAACGACGTCCAAAAAGAACGGAGCGATACGAGTTATCACTGTATCCAATGCGATGTATGATTGTGCATTCCCGACTGCTTTAAAGATTTCCATACCTTACAGAAGATATAACATTATCTCGTATAAACCTCTAAAAGTAGATAAAAAAAAATAAACAGTTATAATGATTTTCTAGTATGCTTTTTCTCTTCCTCTTCTGTCGGCTGCCAAAGGACAAAACATGTTAAAATGTGCCTTTTTTACGCTGAAAAGACGGTAAAGAAAAGGAATTTTATTTTTGTCAAAAACAAGTTTGTGTACATACAGGGGTGTCCCGATGGGGGGGGGGGGGGGGGGGGGGGGGGGGGGCCCCCCCCCCCCCCCCATAATTGAAAAGTATCGAATTAAAAAAATAATCCACCATTTTGTTATTTTAGGAAAAAATCCTTTTCCGATACATTTTTGAAATAAAATCGTGTCAAAAACGTAAAACAAGCGATCTATGTTAACGTCACCATGCACTAAGCCGTAATAAATGTTCTGTAGATGTCATACTATAAATAGAATCAAATTGAGGTAAGATAAAATAAAATAAGATAGATAGATAGATAGATGTAATTTTATGCTTACACATTCGTTCTATCGAATAACCAATGATTTTAGATTGTGATTTTTAATAAATATTCATCAATCTGTATTTTCCCTATATGACGTGAAAGATGTTTCGTCTTTCATTAACGATGATTGCAAAGAATTAAGAAAATGTTTGACTGTGTAGTATTGCTTCATCGCGCCTTTTTTCACCATTTGAAATTTATGCATGATATTATGTTGTAGATAAAATACTTGACTGTAAAGTGTAAATACAGCCATTCATTCCAATTCATCCATGTCAAAGTGTACCAGTCCCAACAATAAAAGAGCCGTTCCTCATGAAAGAAGTGTCGAAAGTATCACAAAATATTTCAAACCATTGAACGAACTTATCAATCAATTAGTTCCAACATCACTATCATCATCGTCATCAAAATCATCTCCATCAACAACACCAACTACACCTAAAACATCTTCAAGAACATCAACTACACCTG